GGTCGGCAGATGGGACCTTCCAGCCCTCGCAGGAGGGAGTCATTTCATTACTTGGTAATGAAGAAATGTGCTTAGAAGCGTGTTAGTGGGTTTTGAATGGTTGTCAGAATAGCTTGAGATTAGAAACATCTTTGATTAAAGTGGAAATTTTCACTAAATATATCAAAATCTCATATGATAATGAAAAGGAAAAATATTTACTGAGGATTTAATGCAACTCTCTTGGACATGTTAAGGATGAATCAATGAAAAATTTCCTACAGAAATGTGACTGCTCTATAACTATAACACCTCCTAGCCAGCACAGTGATAGCCTTATATCTTATATCACATGATATCAAGATGCAATAAGGCTGACTTCCCATTCATTCAATTTTTTTTGTTGTTATGTTCCAAATCATATTTTTACTATGTTGTTTATCTTTGATTATCAACGTTAGTATATTAAAGCAGACCATTCAAAAATTATCTTCCCATTTTCCCAGGGGCTCTTTTAAAAGCCAAAGTAAATAGAAAAGTGTTATAGTACTTACATCAGCTTCTACTCAGAAATAGATTATTGGGTAGCCAACAAAGCTGGATCTGCCCCTGGATTTATACAATGATCTCTCAGCTTGAAGCAAGAATTAATAACTAAGCATAAACTCACTCCAACCCAAAGTCTGACTCCCTTCTCCGATCAGTTTTCTGAGTAGGAATACAGAACACAGTGAAACCATGGGATATCTTATTGCTGTCTTGTGCTTCATAAAATTGGGAGTCTCCCATTTTTCTGTAGCATAGCCAGGCCTCCTGGAAGGATTATAAAATAAAGACATCATAATATTCTAAGACAATCCAGCAGATAAATAGTTGGTGTTTCCATGACTCACGGATGATGCAAATGCTGTGGAGTATTCAATAATAGGCAGATGATGCTAATGGTGACTAAAGGTCTTCAGTTCTTACACTTATTTTCCCTAAACCCCTTACAAAAATCTAGTAAAAGGTTTACACTATTTATATAAGAAGTCTGAATTTTTTTCTAGACACGTTACCAACTCAGTTGTCATGAAATCACTGGGGCTATAGGTGCTCAGCACTTCAAAACATTTTATTTCAATGCCTAATTTTAGGCACTTTTGTTGGAAAATATTTACCTACACACCTAGTTATATAGTTTGTTTAGGATATTTCTGATCAAACATTCTACCTTTATGAACTCTTCACATTTCTTAAGCAGAGGTAACTGCAAGTAACCTTAGGAATTAAATAGTTAAAATTTAACTTGGTAGCTTTAGTGTTCAAAGTTCAAGATTAATCTTAGATATTATTTACAGATATCACATTTGGTCCAGAAAGTGTTTAAATATTTAGGTACAACTGACCTGTAAAGGTTTTTTTTGATATTATGAACACACTATACATGGTCTGACACTCAGAGATCCAGTGGAATGAGTTTGAGTTTCAGCACAGTTACTGTGATGTGACAGCCTAAAACCCAGAAGGAACAGAATTGCTTGGAGTTGGGTTTGTGAACATTGTCTTTTTTTTGAAGGCTGTTGATAAGTGACTCAAAAGAGCTTCATAATTTAGTTTGTTTACCTCGCATTTTGTATAAGAGTTTTCATTCTGCATTTCTCATAATGAGAGAAAACAGACTGATAATGGAAGTGCTGCCTAACAGTTCTTACAAATGTTCTAAAATATTCACATTCTTGTGTGTTTTTCTTCCTTTTGCAGGTCATGGAAGAACATGAGCTGCCTGTGCTTTTGGTAAATGAGGTGGGAGGAATATGCGGTGTCCTGGAAGCGCATGTGGACTTCCTGAAGACACATTTTCACCTCATCACCATGAAAGAATTTCTTGAAAACAAAAATATTCTTAGTAAAAAGGTCCAAGCCATTTATGTGTGGTGGCACAAACCAGTCATTGATCATGAGCTTCTCCAGAACCTGCCCAACTTAAAGGTGATTGCAAATTCAGGAGTAGGAATGGATCACTTAGATCTGAAACTTATATCTAGCTGTGGAATAAAAATGGCTAATTGTCCACATGCTGTTTCAAGCAGCACAGCAGACACTGGAATGGCTTTGTTGCTGGCATCTGCTAGAAGACTAGTGGAAGGTAATGTTTAAATTACTATACAGGTTTCCAGAAAATCATATGAGCTAGAATTATTCCTATTGTAATAAAGTGGGACTATCCAAGCCTCAGAAAGGGGCTTGCATAATGAATATTAGTATTTAAAGTACTAAACCCTGTTTTTAATGTTAGTGGCTACCTTTATACACTATATTCCTGCTTATAACAGATTAACTGCTTAGATCTTTGTTGAAAATCTTTGAGGAAAATCTGTTTAAAGGACCTTGGTGTAACTTTCTAGTTATGAGTGGAGCTAGATGTTTAGGCTAGAACCCTGAGCCTTCATCTGTACAACTACTGCGATTATGAAAATAACTGGACAGGTAAACTGAGGAACACCTCTTTCCACTATCATTACGTTTCACAACCTTTTTCAGCAATATATTTTCAACATGTCAGGTATTTGGCCATGAGGGATTTATTTCATGACATGGTGATAATTTCTATAGTGCTGTTGACAAAAAAGTGACTAATAATTTTGAGTACCCTTATTCTCATACTTCAAAAAGTTTTAATACCTTGAGGTGCCTAGCACTTTCTGAAAATCAAGCCCCTTCATGATGTCTCAGATTACAAACCGAAAAATATTATGTAGTTTTCAAAATCTGGGTAATACATTCTAATGCAAACTTTCCTTCAGATCCATAAATATGTTTTATTTTAAAACCCTACCACTCCATTGCGCAAAAATAACCGTTGTTTTTGTGAAAGCCTGCTGTTTTTTGTTTGGCAACTGTAAAATGAACTCATAATAACAAATGCCCCTGTTCCCGTTTGGTGCTGTGGCTAGGCATTTCTGCTCTAAACGATTTAGAAGTAGTGCAGGAATTAGTTGCGGGGTAGTAGCTTCTTTATTCTTTCCTGTTAGGAAGGTGGTCCTAACGCTCAGCTCCTCCACTGTGAGAAATGAAATGCCTACAACTTCTTGTCTTTTCATCATCTTACGGTCAAAAGCAGGAGAATTTTCTTTTATTTTTATCATTCCCTGCTTCAGTATTTTGACCCAGAGGACAACATTAGTGAGACAAGTTATAGAAACCAGGGCCAATTTTAATCTTGCCTGATGTAACAGAGTTTTAATTCTGTATGCTCTGTGCTTGCCTACACTAGGAAAATTTCTCTCTGGGAGCTATCAGGAATGGGGGCTGTGATGTAGACAGGACTCGGATATTTTTACCATATTATCTCATAATTTCAGAGTACTGTTGACAAGAGTGCAGTGATTTTCAGCCAGGGTGTGCTTTGAGATCCTTACAAAGGTGCCACATGGTGCCACACAATGTCAGCAGTTTTAGGTGTACAAACATATTTCACAAGATAAAGCCAAAGGTTTCAAATAGTAATCCATTGTGTTAAAAGCATTAAGACTTGTGGTATTTCTGAGTTCTTGCCAACAGAAGTCTTGCTCTATTATGTTTCTATAGTCAAAAAGTGAGTGGAAACAAAGAGTTGGCATTTTCTGTGGGGTGCCTCATGCCTAAGTTGAGAACCAGTGGCTTAGTGATTAGAACCATTCGGATAGCCAGTCCAGTTAAAAGAGCTTTCTGAACTGTTTTTAAGAATGGCTTTAATTTATTTTATTTTATTTATTTATTTGGGGGGGGGGGGGGGTC